CCTCGGCCTCCCAGAGCGCTGGGACGGCAGGCGGGAGCCCCTGGAGCGGTTCCACGCGTGTGCGGGCTCCTGCCAACGCCGGGTGTTCTCTCCTTGGTCCTCGCCGTTGCAGGGGACGCGAGCAGCGCCGTGTCCGCCGTCTGCTACACGGTGCCCCGGTCGGCCATGGGGAGCAGCCTCCGCGCCCTGGAGTCCGGCTCGGACTTTAGGTCCCGCGGGATGTCCCCCGAGAGCCGGGTCACGCTGGGGCCCGGCGTCACCAGGGCCACCTGCGAGGTCATGCTGGTGGACGACAGCGAGTACGAGGAGGAGGAGGAGTTCCAGGTCGCCCTGGCCCACCCGTCCCCCAACGCCCGCCTGGGGAGGCTGGCCTCGGCCACCGTGCTCATCAGGCGGCGCCAAGCGAGCGCTGCAGCCGTGGTCCTGGGGGACTCGGCCTTCAAGGTGGACGAGGACGCAGGTAACCGCGGAGACGCCTCTCGGGGCTCCACCGCCCGCCCCGGGGCACCCTTCTTTCCTTTTTATTTTCTTTTGAGACAGAGTCTCGCTCTGTCGGCCGGCGAGGAGAGTGGTGCGTGGCGTAGCCTCGCTCACAGCAACCTCCAACTCCTGCGGCTCCAAGCGGATCCTCCTGCCTCGGCCTCCCGAGTAGCTGGGACTACAGGCATGCACCACTCGCTGCGGCTAATTTTTTCTGTATATTTTAGTTGGCCAATTAATTGTGTGTTCTTATATTTAATAGAGACGGGGTCTCGAACTCTGACCTTGAGCAATCCGCCGCGCTCGGCCTCCCCCCGAGTAGCTGGGACTCAAGCGATCCTCCTGCCCCAGCCTCCTCCCGAGTAGCTGGGACTACAGGCATGCGCCACCACCCCGGCTCATTTTTTCTAATATAACGAATATATATATATTTTTTTTTTAGTTGTCCAGCGTACTTCTTTTTTATATATTTTTTAATAGAGACAGGGGTCTCACTCTTGCTCAGGCTGGTCTCGAACTCCTGACCTTGAGCGATCCTCCTGCCTCGGTTTCCCGAGTAGCTGGGACTATAGGCATGCCCCACCACACCCGGCTCATTTTTCCTATATGTATATTTTTAGTTGGCCAATTAATTTCTTTCTATTTTTTTAGTAGAGACGGGGTCTCGCTCTTGCTCAGGCTGGTCTCCAACTCCTGACCTCGAGCGATCCTCCCGCCTGGGCCTCCCGAGTCGCTGGGACGACAGGCGTGAGCCGCCGCGCCCGGCTGCCGGGTCCCAGCGTGGGTGCAAAGCGAGGTGGTGACGCCCCCAGGCTCCCTGGGAAGGGGCCCGGCCGCACCCGTCCCTGCTTTGTCACGGGACGCAGGAGCGGGGTGAGGCTCTCACGGCTTCGGGAGGGAGAACTCTGATCTCCGGCTCACGGGAGTCTCTGTGGATCGTCACACAGGCACGGTGAGGATCCCGGTCATCCGCCAGGGGACCGACCTGTCCACCCTCACTTCCGTCTGGTGTGCCACCCGGCCCTCGGACCCGGCCTCCGCCACCCCGGGCGTGGACTACGTCCCCAGCTCCAGGAAGGTGGAGTTCGGGCCCGGCGTCACGGAGCAGGTGCGTGTCTGCAGGGGGCGAGAGCCGGGAAGACACAGGGCCAGGGCCGGGTGGGTCTGTGGGCGCCGTGTTTGCTCTGTTCTCCAGGCTCTCTTTTTGTTTTTTAAGACAGAGTCTTGCTTTGTTGCCCGGGCTAGAGTGAGTGCCGTGGCGTCAGCCTCGCTCACAGCAACCTCAGACTCCAGGGCTCAAGCGATCCTCCTGCCTCAGCCTCCTCCCGAGTAGCTGGGACTACAGGCATGCGCCACCATGCCCAGCTCATTTTTTTCTATATATATTTTTAGTTGGCCGATTAATTTCTTTCTATTTTTTTAAGTAGAGACGGGGTCTCGCTCTTGCTCAGGCTGGTCTCAAACTCCTGACCTTGAGCGATCCTCCCGCCTCAGCCTCCCGAGTAGCTGGGACGGTAAGTGCATGCCAGGATGGATGCCCGGCTGCTTTTTACTATTTTTGGTAGAGACAGAGAGTCTCGCTCGTGCTTGGGCTGGTCTTGAACTCCTGGGCTCAAGCAATCCTCGAGCCTCAGCCTCTTCCCGAGTAACTGGGACTGCAGGCATGCACCACCACGCCCGGCTCATTTTTTTTCTATTTTTCGTTGTTTGGCCAATTTTCTCTCTATTTATAGTAGAGACGGGGTCTCGCTCTTGCTCAAGCTGGTCTTGAACTCCTGGGCTCAAGCGATCCTCCCGCCTCAGCCTCTTCCTGAGTAGCTGGGACTACAGGCATGCGCCACCATGCCCGGATAATTTTTTCTCTATATATTTTTAGTTGGCCAATGAATTTCTTTCTATTTATAGTAGAGACGGGGTCTCACTCTTGCTCAAGCTGGTTTGGAACTCCTGACCTTGAGCGATCCTCCCTCCTCGGCCTCCCGGAGTGCTGGGATGACAGGCGTGAGCCACCGCGCCCGGCCTGTTTCTAGATATTTACACCAAACAAGAGAAGTTTCTATCCAGAATGTGTTAACGCTGAATATTCGATGCCAAAGATGTCACTTGGGGAGTTAACAGAAAATCCTCTCTTAAGTTGGTTCTCCTGTTTGCAAGTTTATGTTTTTAAAGAAGGGAAAGAGAGTAATATTACAAAGGGAATTTAGAGTCCTCAAGAGATCTTGGAGTAGGCCGGGCGCGGTGGCTCACGCCTGTCATCGTAGCACTCTGGGAGGCCGAGGCAAGAGGATCGCTCGAGGTCAGGAGTTCGAGACCAGCCTGAGCAAGAGCGAGACCCCGTCTCTACTAAAAATAGAGAGAAATGAATCGGCCAACTAAAATATATAGAAAAAATGAGCCGGGCGTGGTGGCGCATGCCTGTAGTCCCAGCTACTCGGGAGGAGGCTGAGGCAGGAGGATCAATTGAGCCCAGGAGTCTGAGGTTGCTGTGAGCGAGGCTGACGCCACGGCGCTCACTCCAGCCCGGGCAAACACGAGAGAGACTCTGTCTCAAAAGCAAATAAATAAATAAAAACATAAACTTGCAAACAAGAGGACAAGCTTAAGACCGGATCTTCTAACAACCCCCCAAGCGACATCTCTGGCGTGGAATGTCCAGCGTTGCGGATTCGAGACAGAAACGCCTCTTGTTCGGTGCAAACATCTAGAAAGGAAACTCCTAGGAAACGCGTAATAGAGAGATCGACATTCTATGGGTTTTGGAAGCCTCCCCGTAAGACAGCGGAGAGAGGCCCGCTGCCTCCCTCCCGGGTCCTGTTCTCTCTTCCCATCCCAAAAGAAGGACAGGTGTTGGGGTGTCGGCCCCGCTGTGAGGCTCGCCTCGGTTTCCCTTCCAGTTCTGCGCCCTGACGATCCTGGACGACACTCAGTACCCGGCGATCGAAGGGCTGGAGACCTTCGTGGTCTTCCTGAGCTCCGCGCAGGGGGCCGAGCTGACCAAGCCGTCCCAGGCCGTGGTCGCGATCAACGACAC